TTTATTAATTTTTGTTTTGTTTGATTGTTATTGTTGTGTTTTTTATTGTTGTTGGTTTTTTTTAGAAACTAAAGCCAAAATTAACATTCTGATCTATTTCGATGCTTTCCGAGGTAAGTGAGCAGGCACGCTTAAGACAATTTGTTTTTGTCTCTGCAATTTGGTAATTATAAATTTGTGACGAATCTGTTTTATATTTTGAAAAATTTGGCTATTATTCATTGATATTGTGTCAATAATTTCTTTTTGTTTTTTTTTTGTTTTTTTGTTTTTACGGTGAGCTGGTATCATTTCTCTATCGGTTGGTTTATGTTGTGAGTTAGGACTCTGTAGCCTTTGCTATTAGTGCCTTGGCCAGTGCATTAAGTTGAATTTGATTTTTTGTAACATTTATACAAAATAGGAATGCTCAGATTCAGAATAAAAGTTGTATCATGTACGAAAAAAAACAGTTTAAAAAGACAGAAATGTGTACTTACTTTTTTTCTGCCTTGAAGGAAAAGAGAATAGTTCAGCTTGGTTGATGTCCAATAAAAAAAATGTGCAACTGTTTGACACGAATTTCCTTGTAAATGTTCCTTCCGTTGGCTTATATTTGTAACAGCGTTATAAAAAAAAATGCTTATTTAAAGTGTTCTTGTTTGTATCATGTAAAAATTCAAATACTTGTATATAACATACACGCACACACAATCTTCAAAAGTGCTAGCATAGACACCAAATAGTTTGAACTTTACTCTCTATACTCTATTGTTTATGGAGAATAAAGCAACAAGAAGAACTAACTATTATTTTCATGCATGATGAAGACTGCTTTGGACTTTTATAAGTTCCATACACACAATATTTTTTAAAATTTGCACAAACTTATTTAACCCTTTTATACTCTTTGAAAACTATGTTTCCCTCAGAGAATAAGAATCAGTTTCATGACTTCGTGTAATTCTTTTTAAAATCACAAAAACGATTTTGAAAGGTAAAAAAAACAACAAAAAACAGAAAAAAAACAACCAATAACAAATCAGGATTGAAAGACTAGTAACCAGGCCCTTAGTTCCTCCAGACATTGTCTTCTTCTCCTCCGTCAATGTTATGCTTTGACTTTGAGCTAAACGTGCCTGTGACGCAATCGTTATAGTCTTTGCCATTTCACGCAGAAGACCTGAGTTCAGTTCTCTAGTGGGAACTGGGACATTATCATAATCATTTAAGTCTCTGCTGCTTGGACGTTGTAATATCCCACTCAGTCCAGTGTACCGGAGTCTGTGGTGTAGAGGTTAGGCACTTTGCTGTTACAGCAGCAGACCCGAGTTTGATTCCCCAGTGGGAGGAAATTTTTATTGAGCAAGTATCTCGGTCTCTCTGCTGGGATGTTATAATATACCCTCTCAGCTTGCGGGTGGTTGGAGTGTGCCACTAGTAGGTCATACTTATTTTTTCTATGTCTGTCAGTTTTACTTTTCCAGCATTAATGATCATTACTGAGTAGATGTGCTTATCTTTACTCAAACACACAACTGGTGGGTTCTGACAGGCATGGTAGGAAGCCTGCCTCCTAAATGATCCAAATTATGTTGATGGGTGGACGTCAGAATTTCAAATAGTGACTCGCAGGAAACAACTTGAATTAAGGGTGTCAGGGAAACACCGAAAAGTCATAATATCCCAATTGAAAGAGCTGCGGAGCTGGCCTACCATAGAAAACTGCATCTCCCCATAATGCTCAATAGAAACAAATGATGAAAAAGTAAAACTAAAGTAGATAAACAACTATTTCCAAGAAACAAAGAACAGATAGATATGAAATGCAATTCATACCAACTGCAGTGAGACTCACAGAGCTACAACAAGGGGTTTGAGGCACGAGCCAGACGTTGTGTCCTTGGGAGAGGAACCTTACACAGGTGTCAGTGGGTACTCACACTTAAACAAAGAAGGATCTCGTCAGTATGTTTATATTTTATATCCTTTCTTCTTTTGTATATGGATGAGTGCACCTGACCTTTGTAACGCCACTGCCATTTTTAACAAAGAATAAAGTTTGTCATTATCATTCTTTTCTGGATGCATCAAAGTTTAAGTACAGTATGGGAACTGACCCTAGTAAACTGGAAACAGCAAAACATTGAAACACAAAATCATAAATTGTAATAAATTTATTTTTCATACTCTGATCTTGAGTATTGATATCATCATGAGTATATGTTTTGTCTACAATTGTATAAATCCCAACAAGAAGATCGTCATCCTTGTGAAATGACTGGCTTACCCACAAATTATCAGATTTAGAAAAAAAAAATTTACCAATCGACAGTAAATCATCCATTTCAAATGCTCCACTCATTTTTAACTTGAAATGCTAAAGAAAAAACATTTGAAATAAAGTCCAACAACCAACATGCTGCCAGTTGCTGCATGATGAAACAAAATAAGCTTTTCACTTCTCCTCTAGAAAATCTACTGCACTCGGGTCAGCCCGTCTCATCACAAGGAGGACAAGATTCAGATAATCATTAAGATATGAAATTGGGTAAAATAGTAATCTTTATGATATAAAATTGAGAAAATAGTAATCCTTATGATATAAAATTGGATAAAACAGTAGATTAAGTATGGGTAAAAGCACAATAGTAGTAGTACAACACAAACAGGTAGGAAACATTCGTTCAGCTGGTCCAATTTGTAAAATAGATTCCTTTCTCAGCACAAAAATTTTAATGACAAATTTTGATACAATTTAGGTCAACATGACTGACCAGTTAATCACAATAATAATATTAGAAGTGTATGGAGTATGGGTTTAAAGCCCGCATCAACACTATTAGGTCGTTCAAGAAGTTGAACCTTCGAATTAAACGTCTGTCTCTGATAGGACCAAGCCAAATGGGTTGAGAGCCTTGAAAACTCCACAAACCCAGTCTGGGATTTAAACCAGGGCCATCTGTACCGTAGTCATACATGAAACAAACAGAGTAAATGGAGTCCCCTTATAATAATAATAATATCGGAATTGTGAAATTGTGAAACAATATATCATATCTGCACCCCCCCCCCCCCCCCCCAAAAAAAAAACAACCCTGGAAAAGATCCATATTGGGACCTGTCACACCTGCGATAACAAAAATTCCAAGACAAACTGCACACATTTTATATAATTTTTGTGTGTTTACATTAACTGTAACACCCTTTACAATACAATAAAGGCTATGAAACAGAATTGTCATGTCTTGAAATAATTTTCTAAAATTGCATGCATTTGATACCAAGATTCAGATAATGTTATTTTTATTTCACCTGAACTGTCAAAAAAAGACTGGAATGTATCTCGAAGCACATTGTCAAGGAAACAGCAAGACTGTCATGGAATAATAGATCTATATAATTGTCAGTAATAAGTACAAGCATAGAGAATAATCAGGTAAAAAAAATACATATTAAAAATATAACAATCTTGTGCATAAAATCTTAAAAGGAAAGACTTATAAAATCCATCATTAACTTTTGTATAATAGAATATTGTAAAACCGAAAAATCAATTAACTCATCAATTTACCATCAGCCACAATAAATCACCGAGAGATCAAGAGATCTGAATTGAGAATAATATTCAGAGTTAGCAAATTACGACATAGGTACACGCACAAATAAAGTTCACAAAATTTGAAGACGTTACTGCTGAGACCAGGTCAACTTACATATATCTGGTATGCTTTGGTCCATACATTGGGAAAGTTTGAGCTATTTGAACGACTCCAGTCTTCATCTTAAGGATTGTAAATGACTAGGAACGAAGAAATCATAGCAAGGGGTAAACATCAGGGCAAGGAGTTTCTAGAACTAGAAGCTAGCAGACGAAACATAAGCATCACCCAGGGAATTACTCAGGCTAGAAGTTGTAATCTTCACAAAAGTTTAACAACAATAATACAATCGTTTAAGTACAATCACCAAACTAGACAACAGAAACATCCCTATTTCAACAACTAACATACCAAAACATCTGGTCATAAGAAATTATATGACTTTAAAATATATTGTTCATCATTACATATACAAATACATGACCCTTCACCAACATGGCATATATATCTTGCCCGAATAAGCCCCCTCCCCCTTCCCCCCAAATCCCTACATGACTCCTTGCATTAATCTTATAAAGTTATTTGTAATAATAAAAAACGCAGCCAAAACCCCCCTCCCCCTCCCTGAAAACCTAATTTGGGCTTCACTATATATTCCCCCCCCTCCCGTTAGTGGAAAGCTTATAGATTGCAACTCCATATCTGCAGTCTAGTCTGTATCGTCTTGACCTCTCTGTATCACTATCACAGAGTTTAATCAAGGCCGGCTGAATGCCCAATGTAGCAAATTCTCAAATCAAATTATAGAATCTAGATCCAATGAATTTCATAGATCTAGATTTACACAGGCTCCATCATTTAACAAATTCACAGGCATTCTTGAATGCAATGAAATGAGTTTGACATAGCCTCAACATATTGCACAGATCCACTGAATCACATAGCTCAAGAATAGTGTAACCATTCAACAGAAATTCACTCACGTTCTCAAGTCTTTTTCTCTCCAGAATATCTTTCAGTCTATAATAATTCATTCACTGCTATGCTCTTGTTGAGCACAGGGATTAAACTGAACTATATGAAAAAGCTGCTGAAATGGAAAAGTGAAACTAACACTTCCACTCTAGAAATCAATTACTGTCGCGAGGAACAGGTAGCCCACAATTTTTGTGATGGCGGGTTCAGGGGTTGGACATTTTGGCTATATTATGTAACCCAAATAAATAGGCCTACTTTCAACTTTAAAAATAACAATGGAAACCACTTTAAGAATCAAAAAGGTATTATATAACCCAAATAAGTATGTTCAACCTTTAAAAATAACAATAAAAATTACAATGAGAATTATAGTACATGTAGTACTAAAACTAAAAATATGAGCACCGTTGGGGAATTGGTTATTAAGGCTATATATATATATATGTAGCTCAAATCAATTAAGCATTACCAATCTTAATAATAACAATAGAAACCACTATAGGAATGACAAGAGTATTAAAACTAGGTATCCCAGCACCAGCAGCAGCAACAACAACAACAACAAAACAAGTAACAAAATTCATTTCCAGAGCAACTCATCTCAGCATGTCTTCACACCTTTTACATTCTCTTAAGCAAAGGAGAAAAGGAAGAAATCCCCCCCCCCCTCCCCCACCTGCTGGTTTATTATGTCACAGCACACAATTATGAGTCACGACGCAGTGGAATCAGGCGTTCGTAAATTGTAAATAGAGTTATTGGTATCATTGTAAAGCTTGTCCATATGTGCTGCTTTGAATGAGAAAAATATTCATTTACCTTGAATACAAGTCGATATATTTGCGAATGAAGAAGGTGGGGTCAACTGGTTTAAGACGTAAAATTAGTGAGAAAATGCCCCCCCCCCCCCAAAAAAAAAAAAAAAGTTATTTCTTTAGCTGGAATGTCTGTGGAAAATGAAAATTTAAATTTTTTGTGTCTTCAGTCAATGTTTCTCAGTAACATTCACACATAAATGTGTTCTTAAATGGGCATGAAAGGTGAAGTCAAAAAACAAAAATTCAATAAAATTCACAAACCTGCAGAAAAATGCCAGTTTCTATTTACTTTGATTATTTTGACGAGCGCTTGATTTCACCACGCTGCCTCACGTATGTCTCAGCATTGAGCACACAGTTGACCTCTTGACCGCTCAACACCAACCTGGCTGCCACCACAGGTCAAAGTTCATGGGGTTTCCTTTGGGGTCCTTTGGTGGGTAGTTGGCCGGCACCATCATTGTATAGTAGTAAGACATACGGGCCTGGAGTTTCTTCACCACCTCGGGGAGTTTGTCGTACAAGTTGGTATGTTCATACGGATCATCTGTGTAACAAAATTTTAAAAAAAACACATGTTGGTCTTTGTGTTCATCTGGGTCATCTATGTGACATGCACATCATAACGATGGTCTCCGGCACAAACCATCTCACTCTGGAATTTCCTGGAAAACTTTTATACCTTTAAAATAGCTCAACAAGGGGTGACGCATATTGTATAAAATTTAAAAAAATATCTTAGCTCTAAAACTAATACAAAATAGAGAAACAGTCACATGATCAAACCGCCTATGTCTGGAAGCTTCCGTCAATAGCGTCACAACACACCTGTGTCGGCAACAAGAAAGCATTGGAGAATTCTTTCATCTAAGGGATTATTTCCCTTTGAAAAAGTTTTTTCCCATCTCCTGTAAAATTCATGTTTTTAGACTTACATGGTTTGTGCCCGAGACCATTGATGTGTGAGGTGAGCTAAAAAAAAATGAGCAGCTTCTCGCAATCCCTGAATGGCGATATAGGCCGAAAATCGACAGAGGGGTCAAATTTTTAGATTTTCAACTGATGCCATATTTTTTCGTCAGGTGAAATCCATCTTTTATCCTTCCATACAAATAAATTAGAGTATGTTGTATGTCTATTGTGATTATTTGGATCAGGCAGAGGGCAACAAGGGATTCTCCAACAAAACATTGCATTCACATATTATATTATTTTATTTTGGACATAATTCAGCCTATTTAAAAGATAACACCTCTGAAAACTGACATGCCATCTCTTATAAAAATGGACACAAAAGATAGAAAGATGTAGTGAAATGTAGAGAGACATCCAAAAGCATCTAGATTTAAACCTAGGCCAACTGGCCTCCTCTGGGACAAGAGGCAGTGTGCGTGTGTGTGTGCATGTGTGTGTGTGTGCATGTGTGTGTGTGCATGTGTGTGTGTGTGTGCGTGTGTATGTATGAGTCTGTGTGTGTGTGTGTGTGTGTGTGCGTGTGTGTCTGTGCGTGTATGTATGTGTGTGTGTCGTGCGTGCGTATGAGCATACAAGTGTACATGAGTGTAGGTGCGTGTGAGTGTGTGTGGGTGTGTGTGTGTGTGCGTGTATGCATGTGTGTGTGTGCACAAAAGGGTGCATGCCTGAGTATGTGTATGTGTCCCCTCTCACCTCTGATGTTGTAGAGACCTTTAAAATTGGTCCAGTTAGAGTAACTGTACGGGTCCATTTGTACGTGCAGGTCTGAGTAGTCTGGGTTGGGCTTCTCTCCTGGCCAGCTGTCGTTCGGTTTGTACCAGCCGTTGTACAGCCCTGGGTAACCTTCGATCAGTTTAAAGTCGCCCACTCTGAAATCAGAAACAAAACTCACCCATAAGTTAACACTAACATGTACACATTTCTGTATTAAAACACACTCAACAATAACCCAAACATTTAGATTCTGAACAACATAGTGTATATATTACGTATGCACGGGTAGGACACAGACAGCTTGAAAAAAGAGGCAAAATAACCTTCGTATAACTCATATGTTCATCCCATGAAATGCAACAACTTTTTGATGTCAAGCACCTTTGTTAGTGGATTTTTCATTAGTCTCACAACCACACTTAAAAAAAAAGCAAATCAAAGTTTTTTTGGTTATTTTTACAAATTTGTTTTTTACCAGTCGCCTTAAATCTAGATCAACAGTGCAACAAGGAGCAGCTATTCTATATCAAAGTGATGATGTCCACCTTTTACTGCCTTGTTCGGGTCTTTTGGAAAGTTGTCCATTATATGGGTCTTATTTCATATCCCATGATAAAAGCAGGGCAACTTTGAAGCCTTGATATTTAGGTAAGAGTTTGAGCTCAATATGCAACAATATATGTATTACAACACACTAACCCATATAGTCCAGACAATAAGTGATATCATGTACACAATATCTGTTTGACAACACACTATCCCACAATACAAATACCTATTTAGCTGTGACTTGAAAATGATGAAATGGTATAGGTATCAACACTATTTGGTTATTTAAGAAGTGGGACCTCCCCAAAAGCAGGGCAACTTTGAAGCCTTGATATTTAGGTAAGAGTTTGAGCTCAATATGCAACAATATATGTATTACAACACACTAACCCATATAGTCCAGACAATAAGTGATATCATGTACACAATATCTGTTTGACAACACACTATCCCACAATACAAATACCTATTTAGCTGTGACTTGAAAATGGTGAAATGGTATAGGTATCAACACTATTTGGTTATTTAAGAAGTGGGACCTCCGAGTTTAATTTTCATCTCCGAAAGGTCCGAGCCAAACTTGAAATTTGTGTAAAGTTCCTTTCCCAAGGACACAACGTCAGACCAAGCTGACGTTCAATCCTCTGCACCCGCAATCTCACGATTACAGGTCCAGTAGCCTAACCACTAGGCCACCAAGCCACCTATGCTATGACCAAGCCCAAGCCAATTTCGGGTACTCCCTCACCCCAGTCCCAGCCAATACAGCAGTATTTCAGAAAAAGAGGCATGTATTCTAAAAAGTTATATAGTATCTTTGTAATGAGGTTTAGATAATAACATCTAACAATGTTTAAAGGTGAATGAACAAGAACAAACATTAAGAAAATTAAAGTTACATTAGGTTCGTTAATTTCTCAAAATGCACCAAATTCACTACCCACCCAAAACTGAGAATATACGCTCTTGGGATGGTGGGAGGTACAAGCGCTGCTGAAAATATATGGGGCTGGAAGGGTTAATACATGGCCCTGCAATGCTGTGACTCACCTGATGGCCGCATGGCCCTGAAAGGGAGTAGTATGGTTGTCCAAGTTATACACAAACTCTGTACGTTTGGAGGCCGACAATGTAGTGATGGACTTCCACTGGCTGATGCCGTCTCTCTTCGGATCTGAGCAGTCATAGACGAGGGAATTGTTGACAGGTTAATTCAAGACAGGGAAAATCATAAGCATGAGACCCTCATCAGTGGAGAAAATTGTTGTATGTAAAAATAAAATCAAAAACAGGAGATCATCATCGGGGAGAAAATAGTTGCATGTTTTATTACCATTAAAATCATTAGAATGAGATCATTGTCAAACATGGAAATACTGTACGTTTTATCATCGGTAAAATCATAAATATTATTTCCATCATAGAAGAAGAAAATTGTATGTCTCACCCCACTACTCAAATCATAAACATGAGACCACTATAAAACAGAAATAATCAAATGTTTTATCACCAATAAATTGATACAATATATCACAAAAGAAAATTGTTGTTTTTGTCTCACCAATAAAAATCTCGAATATGATATTATTATCTGGATCTAACCAATTACGTGGAAAAAAATGTACACACATACAATCGAAGTAGAACAAGATCAAAACTTATTGTCGAGGAAAAAAGTGGAAATCTTCATTGATTCAGCCCACAGCACCGCTCACAGAGGCTGACTCTCTCCTGTGTTTTGACGCATAGCAGCTCGGAGCGGCTCTTATATATTGCTTCCTTTCTTCACATCACTTTTTTCTCTTCTTTATTCCTTTCCACTTACATTTTTTAAACTCTTTTTTCCGGCGTCACTGAATAGTATTTTTTTTATTCTGAACATTTCTACATGCCACACAAAGGGTTTTATCAAATTTAGATATTCTTATATTAATTTTTGTGAGACCTCCCATAAGGTTAAGAAGCGGTCACAAATTATTTGCGTCTGGAGTCAAGTTATATGCAGGCTGAATCAGTTAAGCAGGTGGTCCTCATAGAAAGTGTCATTAAAATAAGTGTCACCGCGCGGAGGAGTCAGGCACTGGTCAATTTTTGGCTTTGGCCATGTGGAGTTATTGGTATCTTCTTAAAGCTTGTTCATTTGTCAATCTTTGAGGAAAACAATGTCCATCAGTCTTGAATAGTAGTCGAGACATTTGCGAATGAACAAGGTGGGTTCACCTAATTCAAAGGTAGAGTTAGAAGCAAATGGCAGCCAAAGTTTAGTGATTTCCATAGCTTGAAAGTTCTTGGAAATTGAAAATTTACATTTTTTGTGCCTTAAATCATGCCTTTCAGTCAATCAAGTAAAAAAACATTTTGAGCCCCCCCCCCCCCCAAAAAAAAAAATTCAATAAAAATTGCCAAACCGGCAGAAAAATGCTGATATCCTTAATTTCATTATTTTGACTAGCATCTGATTTCACTGCAATGCCTCACATATATAAAAATACAAGAGGGGAAGTGGAAAGTGGTTCTTTGTACAGGTTTTCGTCTCAGACAAGTGGTTGTTATAGCAGGTTAGACAGTATTCAAACGCAGAAATCTCCCCCTCCTTCAAAAATTTAACCTCACCAGAGTAACTTATTCCGGCTGCCTCCAGAATTGTGGGGAACCAGTCGACCGCATGCATCAGACTGAAACACACAAGTAGCAGCATCCTTAGCATCATTGACATCATTGCTGACAATATCATTTTTATCAATGTCATTGCTATCACTCATTACTGCCAACATAGTAAACTACCAAGACAAATTTCTCCCTAAGAGATGAATAAAGATTGTCATTGTCAATATCACTACAGTCATCATTATCACTGTCATCACTATCATCAAAGTCATCATCACTGTCAACATAGTTATCAAAGTTATACAATGATCTTTGCAATGGGCACCACTTACTGGTAATATCTCTGAAGATGTATCCAAATTCAAAACAGCTTACTCGTCCTATCAAGCACGATGGATCTAAATATAGAACAAGTTACCTGTCATCTCTCAGGATGTATATAAACATATAATAGTTTACAATAATAATAATAATAATAATAATAATAATAATAATAATAAACATAAACAGCATTTATATAGCGTATATCCCTACTCGACAGCAAGCTCTATGCGCTTTACCTGTCATGTCTCTAATACCTGTCATATCTCTCACAGAGTGTCTAAATATAGAAAAGCGAAACTAGAATCTCTCATAACATTTCTAAATGTATAGAAAAAGTTACCCGTCATATCTCACTCCAGTTTTCTGCAGAGGTTTCCCGTGCACGAAGGCGGGCACACGGGTGCCACCCTCCCAGATGGTGATCTTGCCTCCCCTCAGTGGGTAGTTGTTCCCGTGGTAAGGTACCCAGCCACCATTCTGCGGAGATGACCACACTAAAATATCACTAAAATCCAAAATAACTAGTGTGATAAGGTACAGGATCCAGCCATTCTACTTGAGAAATGAGCAAAAAAGACATCAAAAGACCAAAAATGACTATTGTGATTCAGTATGGTGTCCAACCACCATTCTCTTGAGATGATAACAGAAGGTATCAGACAACTTGTCTTCTCCTTCCCCCCCCCCTCCTCAACTCTCTTAACACAATAAGGTCAGATGACAGGCACTTTTAAAATGGTAAAAACACAACAACAAATATTTGTACACATTTTGGCAATTAAAAAAGCTCCATTTTTTAAATAAAGGCATCTCACATCCTAAAATTATTTTTTTTAGTAGAGCCTATTCAGCGCTCGCAACTGGATAAGGTCATATGAGCGCAAGGAGATTAGAAGTGTTTCAAGAGAGTAACAAACATAAAAAAGAAGAAGGGGAGATAAGGACGATCGATGTTTGATAGGAAAGAAGAAGCAAACCACACCAGAGCACCCGCCAACAACCCACATCCTAAAATTGTCCACATTCAAAGTCTGAACAGATGAAACAAGATTCCGAATCCTGACATCAGTCTGAACAGACCTACAACTAGTGGTGATGTCGAACCAACCCATCCACCCACCAACTACTCACATCAGCAGTGAAGAAGATGATGGTGTCATCAAACATGGCTTTCTCTTTCAGCACCTTGACCAGCCGACCCACGACCTCGTCCGCTGCTGACACCATGCCTGTGTCCACAAGACAGGGAAATGTTTCATGAGAGGGCCAGACAGTCCTTTTTTTTTTTCTTCTTAAAATTGATAAAGCAAAATCAATTTGGCACAATTAATCTTTGCCCCTCTCCCCCCCCCCCCCTCCCCCTGTCTTTATTTCACTTCTTAAAATTAATATGGAAAAATAAATTGAGTACACTTAAGCCTGGATGATCAATTGCAAAAAGAGGGCATGGCAAAGAAAATATGAAAATTGAAGCTGAAGATGTAAAGATACGGTTGGTTTTTTTTCCAACTTTACATTTAAAAAAAAAGAAAATTGAATGCTTAAATTAACTTTGACATTCCTTTAAAATTTGGATGCCATATGACTTTACAGTGACATTCCAATATGACTCCCATAGAATTTTAGTTCTCTCATGTTCGTTATAATAATCATATTATTTTAGAGTAAATAATAAAGAATCCGAAATTGCACCCAAAAAAAAAGGCCAAAGTCTTTCAATTTCCCTTCCACTGTTTTACTTTAACAAACAAAAATATAAAGGACGTGCAATTTTTTTATTTCATTAGTACATTAATAATGTGACCAATGTTCCCCCCTCCCTCTCCCCCCAAAAACAACAAAAAAACAACAACCTACCCCACTCCCCCAACAAAAACAAAAAATGAAACAAAACAACAACCCTGAAATGTAAGGGTGAAGTGAAACGGATAATAAAATCATAGTTTAATGCAACAATATGTTACTGGCTCTGGTCAGTTTTATCGGAACTGTCCCACTGTCCACTCAGGGTTCAAGAGTAAAATGTTACAATAAAATTCGAAGACACCTGGACACGTTTTGTGATACCTGAAAATATCCGTCTTCCATCGATGGTGATGTTCGGGTACATGTCGTAGTAACGTAAGGGAACCTGCAGGGAGGCAAAGACCAAACTGACTCAACATTTGGGGGGCGGGGGGAGCTGAAATCCAACTAGAAACAAAACAGGTGGGAGTTCTATAATAGATGAACGACAACAAAAACTGTAGTTATTTAAATCCTATTGTTGATACCAAAAAAGACAAGAAAAAAAGTATCCCCCCCAC